ATAAACTTCCCAAAACTGCTTGGTAAAACAACAACATGATTTTCTGACTTACTCCGACCAACCTAAGTCTTCTTTAAAAATATAGTATTTGTTTGAAGCTCGAGCAGAGATAATCACTGTAGGCTTTCCAAGTCAATGAACGATCAATGACCACCCCAAGATACTTGAAGGGATCCACTTCAATAGTGTCACCTTGAATAATTACTGGACTGTAATCACCCAATATTTTATGTTTTTCCAACATTGACAATAAGGTGATTTACATTACACCACTGCACAAAGTTCCTGATTTCAGACTGATATTCTGATATGTCCTAATTCTTTCCTAACAGACTTATTATTGCAGTCTTATCAGAGTATTTAATAATATAGCTGTTCTTGTTTCTACTAAATCAATCATTTGTATATAAAGCAAACAGAATGGGAGAGCATACACAACCTTGAGGGGCACCATTGATTTAACATCAGATAGTGTATCATATATAATCTTATCTTATCTTATCTTATCTATCTATCTATAGAGAGAGGGGGGGGCATCATTATTTCTGTACTATCCATATCAATAACAATAATAATAAAAAATAGACCAACAAATTTATCAATTTAAATAAATTGATATACTTATTTTAAAAAATCAAGTTAAATGTTTTAGATTGCAAGTGAATTGGAAATATGTTGGATGTCTTTTTCGACTGAATATTTGCACAGAAATCAAACCCCTGAGAAAGTTGGTACAGTATTGAGTCAGTCTTCTTATTTCCTCCATGTTGCAGGTTCTACTCAAATGCTGCTTTTAGTACAGATAGAGATGCAGTGAACATTCAGCATGCATGCTAACAAACTCTGTGAGAATGACCCCACAGCAGCCTGACATCACCCCACAAGTTTAACCGTCTGCACGGCCCTATCTTTTAATCAATATATTAGGGGAGCCAAGCAACGAAGACAGGCTTCGTGACTGATAAAGTGACCTGACGAACATTACAGCAGCTTTATTCACCCAACTGGACAGATAACGTCCAGAGCAGAGAGAGATGATGATGATGATAATGTTGTTACAGGGGCCGCCAGTGCATCCAGACCGGCTCAAATGTCAGCTCCAGCTATCTCACTCCTGAGACTCTTCCACCCCGTCTTAAGTGCCCGTCATTTCCAAATGGACATTTAGCAAATTATCCTTTTCTATTAGACAGAGAAATGGCTCCATGCCCACATAAAAGGAAATCAGAAAGGCAGGAAGTGATATGCCTCTTAAGAGATTTGAATAATCATTGTGCTCTCCAGTGCGTGTCATGCCATTCGTCATGCGCCAGAAATAACCATCTTTTCCTTGGTATCACTGGTGGTTTCTACACCATTTTGGTGAATCCTCTGAATTCTTTCTCAGTTTGCATAAGAGGTCGGATAAGAGTGGCCAGAAAGAGATCATTTCTATTGCTTCGCTGCTTTGATTTACACGTCATAGATTCAGGCAAGTCAAGCGCTTTTTTTCTTGCTAGTTTCACCATGTATCAGTAGTTCAACTTAATAGCTTTAAATTATCAGGTGGAAACCGTGCTAGAATTTGCTCTTCCGTACTAGTCATCTATCGCTCCAATAGCTACATCAACCGGACTGTAGAGAGATGAGCGTTGCATGGAGCCAACAGATGCCCCACCGAGAGATCCTTCCCTCCCTCTCGCTTCCTCTCTTGCACCGTCAGCAAACTGGCCATTACTGGAGACTCAAGTGTGCAGACACTTGTTTCCCACTGGCATGACAGAAATAAATAAAGTTGCACTGTTCTCCATTTTTCAATGTGTATGTCACTGTTTGCAGCGGCGGTGGATATAGAGCTCGCTTATCTTTCCGCAGTGGTGGTTCTGCTAAGAACAGGTCTATCAGACACAGACAATTGAACAAATGTCACTGAGCTTAAAAAGACCCATGTCTGGAAAAAAAGAGAGCAAGGAGGAATGACAGGAAGCAAATGGAATGCATTAAAGTTGCCTTTTGTTCTCTGGTAACTTCATTTGTCCCCCACATCCGACTTGATAAATTGGAAGTGTGCACCTTTCTCTCTGAAATGACTCTGATAGACGGAGACAGTAAGATGGACGGAAACACATACTGCGACAGACACGAGAGAGAGAGAGGTGCAAACAGAAAAATAGACAGAAGAGACTGTCACTAATGTCCACAACCTTGAGTCAGGGATTTGCCCTTTGGTGACAATGTGTTATTCATTGAACATTCATAATGGGGCTGATGAAATCTCTCGGCTGTTTGAGATGCAGAAACTTAGACGCTTTATCTCGCTGTCAGCACTCAAGTGATCACCCCAATGTCCACTGAGTGTTTCTGAGCGCCCTGCTCTTGTAGTTTTGGATCACACAGAATGTGAGATGAAAACTAGTGGCGAAAGAAAACAATAGAAAAACCAGAGGACATTCTGACTGGTTCAGTATCTGATGTGAATTCTCTGAGAAACCATAAAGGCTTTAATTAGTTTATTCTTGCAACAGTAGTTGACTGCAAACAAAGTCAAATTGTATTACACATTCAAAGCGATCACCATTTGATAAGACAAAACCATCAAGCTGCCCAGAAGTATGTCAGCTATAGCAAAAATGTATGTTTTGAGATGTATTAGATGGAAAGATGAGAGATAAACACAATGCGTTCTGGCATTTTAATGAGATGAAATTGGAAGTGTGCACCTTTCTCTCTGAAAAGTTGACTCTGATAGACGGAGACAGTAAGATGGACGGAAACACATACTGCGACAGACACGAGAGAGAGAGAGGTGCAAACAGAAAAATAGACAGAAGAGACTGTCACTAATGTCCACAACCTTGAGTCAGGGATTTGCCCTTTGGTGACAATGTGTTATTCATTGAACATTCATAATGGGCCTGATGAAATCTCTCGGCTGTTTGAGATGCAGAAACTTAGACGCTTTATCTTGCTGTCAGCACTCAAGTGATCACCCCAATGTCCACTGAGTGTTTCTGAGCGCCCTGCTCTTGTAGTTTTGGATCACACAGAATGTGAGATGAAAACTAGTGGCGAAAGAAAACAATAGAAAAACCAGAGGACATTCTGACTGGTTCAGTATCTGATGTGAATTCTCTGAGAAACCATAAAGGCTTTAATTAGTTTATTCCTGCAACAGTAGTTGACTGCAAACAAAGTCAAATTGTATTACACATTCAAAGCGATCACCATTTGATAAGACAAAACCATCAAGCTGCCCAGAAGTATGTCAGCTATAGCAAAAATGTATGTTTTGAGATGTATTAGATGGAAAGATGAGAGATAAACACAATGCGTTCTGGCATTTTAATGAGATTTCCGAACACATGTTAGCTTTGCATGTAGACATGCACTTTTAGAAAATGCAATACATAAGCGCAAACCATGCAATCTGCAAACCATGTTATCTTTAATTTGTATGGAGTTGTAAAGTTAAGCTTTTCTTGTTTATGAATATGGCTTTCTTGTCACTTGTGTCACATGTGACTGCCTGTAGACTATGTCATTTTGTTGAAAAAGCACAAACAGTCCCTGCTCTGGTTCTGCTTCCATGAGATCTGATTCGAAGATCTGATAATGTTATATTCTCTGGAATTATACATTAGACTTGACGCCTCCAGCATTACATAAAAAAACTCATGCAAATATTATCAGTCTCCTCGTGGTTGAAATGGCTTGTGCATCTCAGACTCTCTTTCTTTTCTGGCTACTGTCTATCATCAAAACAAACCTGAAGAGCCTCAGAGATCATAGACAAACCTGATGAGCCTCACCTATCACTCACACACACTCAATGTCATCTTAAACAAGATGTTGTCAAATATATGTGCATATAAGGCATTTTTGAGAACCCGGACGAGCCCCCAAAAATCAGATTCTTATGGTTTTTCATCCCTACTTGCCTGAGCCTACTGAGCATCATATTTGAATCATCAATAAATAACCAAATTAACAACAATTAAATAATAACCTTTTTTCTTAACTGACCCCAAAACTATGCTGTTCCTTAGCACTACTGAGTGCCATATGTATTTCTTATATGCAGAACGACCAAACATAATACAGGTTTTGTCCAATAGCTGATATAGCCAAATATTGTTTTATTTATGACACAATAAAAAAATAAAAAAATAATAATAATCTACTACAATGAAAACTGTATACATTTTGAATATTAATAACAAAATACTTGTGTTTATTATCATTATTATTTTATTATATATTAATATAATAATAACAATAAATGCAATGGAAACCATTTTTTATGTTTATCAAGTTCGAAATGCTATGCATTGCTCAGTTAAAACGAACTAAACGAATTGTTAAAAAAAAGTGATGAGGAATTATGCAAACAATAAATTCAAAAGTAAGTATTTTACTTGTAAAGAATGTAGTTTCTTGAACACTTTGTAATGTAATGGCATTCTTGGGTGTTATTCTCAAGAGACACATCAAATGGTGTCACCCGATTTTAAAGAACCGATAACCGACAAATGTGAATCAGTAGAATTATTGGTCAAACCGATAATCCATATATCTGTAATATTACATATGCACATATCTACAAATATCCTAAGACAGTATTTTCCCAAGAGAAAGTGCCTAAAAAGTCGTGAAATAATGAGATGCTGCAAAGTTATACTTTAACGATGATTTAACTCTATTGTGCATTATAATTACAATTATAAATAATAAATCAATATATAATAATCCCTGCTGAAAGACGTCGTATAATGCCTTTCCTTACAACGGACATGAGTGTATTGTTTAGAAATAACGGGTCCGCGCGCGTATAAATAACAGCAGAGGTAGAGATTGCAATATTAACAACTGGAAAAAATATCACCAATACAAAAGCCTCGCGCTCGCATGGTTTTAACTGTGGACACGGGTTGTTCCCACATTACGCAGCCAATGTAATAGGTAATAACGCTTGATGGAGCGATTTGAAACATAATTTTTATCGGCCTCAAAATCCAACTTACCGGGATGACAGTGTGCCCAGCGGAGCACCAGCGAGGAGAAAAGCAGAGGCGGAATCCACCAGCAGCAGCAGCGCGGTCGCAGTAGCCTCCGCATGTCACACTGTATACATGGAGATCTGAAATAAGGCAACTGTTGACAGAGTTATCCTCCCGGTGAACAAAAAAACTCCCACAAACAAGCAATGCAAGCGCACTGGACGCGCTTTAATGTATTTCGGCCGCCTCCTTCAGTGAGTCCTTTGGAGAGATTTTTTTTTTCTTTTGAAAAAAGCCAAAGGAAATAGTTTTTTTTTTCTCTTTTCTTTTCTCTTTCTCTCTCTCTTTCAGATGGCTGAGCTTGTAGTCCAGAAGCGAAGCATGTCAAGGGGACAGTGGATTAAGAGAGAGATGTTAGAGGAGCAGTAGTCCATGCATCAGGCTGGAAACACAGAGACAAGAGTTGGAGCGGCTCTGGAAGCTTTCCATTCCGCCATCCAGGAAGTAGCGCATGAGCTGAAGTCTGGCAGAGACTTTAAAACAGGCTTGGAAGAGAGAGACAGGGAGATGAGAGAGAGAGAGAGAGAGAGAGAGAGAGAGATCCGCCGGATCCTAGCGCCGCGCCTGTAACGGAGCTGCTGCT